CCACAACCATCACAATTCCTCCAAGTTCACAGAGATTCAGAGGCATGCTGTTTAGGAAGTGGATGCCACTCCTGCTTCCAAATTGTACTGTCAAGTCTCAATCAACCCATAGCAGACCCTCCAGCAGGTCTTCCGAGGCAGTAAACCATGGACGAGGAGATTACCCATCATTCTTCAGCAGAGCAGCTAGTGGATTTGAACCACATGCCTTTGAGATTGCAGCACAGCTTCTTAACACTAGGCCACCAGAGCTCCCTATATCATATACAGCATATATAAAATATCAACGTATATGAAACTATATCTGTTTGCCATTGGCTATGCAAAACAGTTGCAGGCAGAAGTTAGTCTCCAGATTGTATTTTCCAAATCCTGTGTGGAAGAGAGAGAAATAGAAGATTCTAGGAAAGTGGTTTCCAGTCTATGTCTGGATTCCTTCCTACCTGTAATCCTAACGTAGTTGTACCTTTTGAAGCAAAAGACTCCAGGGTCCCATGGCAGTTGGGTGGATTATGTCTAGGAAAGTCTTTCAGGGGACAGCCAGGTTTGGAACTTCTCCTCCGTATACCAGGTAAGAACCCAGAGATAAACTGAAGAATGCTTTGGGGTTTGTACAAGATATAGTCGCTCCTAGGAAGAGCCTGGACCAGGAGTCTGTGAGCCTCTTGGATAAGGCTAGCATCAACTCCAGTGTGTGTATATATGAAGGTGTGTATTCTCTGGGCCCCAGTTACCCCAAGAGAAGTCCTACTCTTGTATCTAGCAAGACGTAAGGAGGCTGGGAGGCAAGGGGATCTTCTGTATATTTACCTAATGCACACACGAATCCATCTTCTTACATCATTTGTGAAAATACTGCTGCTTAGAGGTCTCAGCCCTGTATCTGAGCTCCAAAGAATAGTGACAATATGTGAAAGGTCCCAGAAGCTGAAAAGAAAATGATGCAGCTGAATTCACATCCAACAAAACAGAACTCCTGGAGTAGATAAACAATGACTTGTTAATCTAATGACAGTGACAATAATAAAACAATGGTATTAGTGTTACTGTTACTATATACTCATTATTTATTATTATGCAATAATAATGGTAATAAGACCTTCATTACAGCATCCAAAAAGCTTCTAGAACTACTGCTGAATTAATTGAGGAAATTAATGAAGAATTCAATTACTTTCAGGATAGAAATTTTTCTGAATGAGTTAAAGAAGTGATCCCTGTCAAAAGTTGAGTTAGTGACCTACAAGACCAGTGGGATAAATATACCAAAGCACAGAGCAAAATACAAAAAGATGCAGAGTCAAAGGAAAATTTATAGAAAAGAAAACCCTATATTATCCTAATACAGGATAGTAGATGTTTTTTAAAGAATAGGAGTGGAAATGCAAGTTCAGGTACCACCCACCCCACCCATAAGGGGGGGGAAATCCTCCCTTACCATTCTCTTTGCTTCACTAATCACTCTGTATCTCTCTTCCTCTTAACAGCTAAATTCTAGAAACGGTTGTTTACATTCTGCTGTCCTCACTTCCTCCCACTAACCCACTATTTATTCACTCACTGTAGTCTGACTCCTGCTTCCAACACGTGAAAGAATGGCTCAGTGTGCCAAGGACTTCCTCAATGTTAAGTTCACCAGCAGCTTCTCAGTCCTGCTGGACGTGGGTCACGTCTGACTGTGTTGATGTCTTTTCCTGACGTCTCTCTCACAGTCTCTTCATGCTAGGGGGACCTAGCAAAATCATCCTGATTTGATTTTGCCAACACCCTCTCAGTTTCAGCACTGAAACCCCGAGTCCCAGGAACCTCTAAAAATCAATCAGGCTAGGACCACTTTGTAAGCTAGTTGTCTCTTGCTGTGTGATGTGTTACTTGTAGTTCCTCCAAAAGCAAAAACTGAGACAGAGATTCAGGTTCAAGGAGCTGATTTTAGAGTTGATCCCAAAAGACCCCAATGGGCAACTGGAGAAGTGAGTCATGGAAAAAGTCAGTAAGAAAGGGTGTGAAGGATGAGCAGACTCCACTCTGGGCACCTGGGGCTCAACTCCCACGGGGGACTTGGGTGCGGACAGAGGACAGCACGGAACATGCACCTTCCATCTGCATCATCCCCACCTGAAGGAACTAGGGTGGTCTCCACCAAGTCCAAGCACTTTTCCCTGGCAATTCCCACCTGCCACGTGGCAGACCCAGCGGATTCTGGTGGCAGCGTCAAGCCCTAAGAGGTCAGGCTGGCATGTGCCAAGAAGATGAGGATGAAGAAGATTAAATGGCCCGGTAACGTGTGATAAACACAGGATTCTCTTCCTGACCCATCTGTCACTTGCCAGGGGAAGTTCTAAGAACTTCAGCAAAGAGTTTATGAATTCCCAAAACATTGAGGTCGTGTGGTCACACACATTTTTTTCTTCACGGCCTCTATTAAAGGCAGTTCCATCCTTCCTGTTGCTTAGGCCAAAATGCTGAGAATCATTCTTTTCTCTTTCCCTTCTAGTCCACATTCAGTCCATCAGCAAATCCTGTGGCTGTCAAGAAACAGGCAAACCCATATGGTGAATAGGCTTGCATTCCCTAAAACAACCACCTGCACAAGACTGAAGTGAAGCCTCTGCCCCAAGATAAAGCTCAGAAGGCAGGAAGGGGTGGGAAAGAGGATGAATGGAAATGGGAAACACAGGTAAGTGTGAAGAGTGCAGTGAGTTAGGATGAGTGGAAATGGGAAACACCAGTAGGAAAGGGGAAGAGTGCAGTACGTTAGGATGGATGGAAATGGGAAACACAGGTAGGAAAGGGGAAGAGTGTTAGGATAAATGGAAATAGGAAACACAGGTAGGAAGGGGGAAGAGTGCTGTTACAACTTGAGAATTGCAATCAATGTCAGTCACAAAATATATGAATTGTTAAATAGAAAATCCGTTTGCTCTGTAAAATTTTACCCAAATCACAATAAATTTGGTGGTTTGTGTTTTATTAAAATCCCACTTGTTTTGCCTTCAAAATAGATTCACAGTTCTCCTTACCTCTGCAGTCTCTGGCCCAAGCCACGGTCACTACTTACCTGGATTATCATGAAGAAGGACTACACAATTGGCAGCCCAGTCCTGTCTCCCCTCTTAGCATAAACATGCTAAAAACAACCAGCAAATCTTTTTTATGGAAAGAGACTCTTAGTGAATATTTTCTTCTTCTCCATCATATTTCTCTTTTCCCATAATAGGCAGCTGGGATCAGTTACAAGGTTTAGGGTCCGGGGGTGGGGGGGTAACTAACATTTACAAATAATTGATTGGAAAACAGCAGGTGCTGCAGGAGGAAACCGACCATTAGAGATACAAACTGAGACCAATTTCCAGCTCTATCATTTTCCCACCGACTGGCAATGGACAAGTCATGTAGCCTTCTCAGTGCCTCAGTTTTCCCAGTTTTAAAACGGGATTGGCAATTATTCTAACCTCATGATGTTGTAGCAAATATTAAATAAGAATAACCACTTTTATCTAGCAATATGTGCTTGATAAATAGATGGCTATTATTTTCAATAGCAAGAGTGTCCAGTCTTCGTTCACCTGGACTCAGAGTGGTTAAGAGGTGACCCTCGTGTTTCCCCTCCCTGCCCTCAGTGAGACGATCAGGAGAGACATGGAAGGAAGACCGGCTGGCGCCAGCTCCACCATAGATCCCTCGATGCTTCTCAGGGACGTGGCTGCAGCCCCTGCTTCCTCATTTCTCATCACACGTAATGAGAAAAGCCTGAGCTTCCTCTTCTGAGCTGTGGGAACTTCCACTGGCCGCAGAGAGGCAGTCACTCGAATCAAGGGTCCTCTGGGTGCAGAGTAAGACAATGGCTTCCACCCACTCCGCAGGATGTGGACAGAATGGGGGTGGCTCGGGTACTCATGAGTTGGAGGGCAAGGGTGTAGATATGGGAAAAACAAATGGCAATGAAGCAGAGGCGAAGTGAGCCCCAACTTCCCCCAGAGGCGAAGTGAGCCCCAACTTCCCCCGCCCTCCCTTTTTACAGACCCTCCTTGTCTTAAGCATCTGTTTTCTGTCAAAACAAGAAAGATGGTGCCACTTGTGAAGGACACTGATGGCTGAATAAACTGATTTATTTGGAGAATATGCGCTTGTCCCTGATGGTGTTCGAAGGGGTCACCGTGTTGAGCTGGGCACAGTCGGACAGTCCTGTGTCTCTCAGGTGTGTTTTGACGTTGCCATGAAGGTGAAGGTAGGGTTTTTTCTGGCTCTTAGAGAGCAGACGCCAGGGACACTAAGCATCCTGCCATGACCAGCACTGCCCCATCCAATGAAATGCTCTTTTGAGGAACACAAACATCCTGAGTTAATAGCCCAAGTCTGTCCACACAGAAGTACAATGGATTGTGTATCATCAAAGCTCTTTTCAATACACAGATACCTTGTGGGTATGTATGGGTAGACAGTTCCACATGTGTCCTTGACATTTAGTTGGTCTGCCTTTCTAGAACTTCTACAGGCCAGATCCCAGCAGAAGCCACAGGCCACCACATGGTTAGGCAAACTTGACCAAGAAAGTTGCTTATGAAGAATTGCTGCTCACCCCCTTCCCAGAAGCTGGCCTGTATCAGGTCAGAAAAGAGCAAGTCCAGCCCCAGCTCACCAGCGTTTGAAAGAACCAGGACATTTCAGAACCTGGATTCAAGGTCAGAACTAGACACCCAAGGCCACCAGTTTCCCAGAAACCGTGATGAGAAATGTGGTGAATGTCCACCAGATGTGAGGCAGGGAGGCCACCACGTGGGCCGTTCCTGTCACTCATCATCCCTTTGGGCCAGCCCGCTCCTTGGTCCTAGAAATGGTCCAACGTGCATCCCAGGGACTTGCTACTTCCAGGCTGCTGATTCAATGTGCTCATAGCCATGTCTGCTCCTGAAGGAGCAGGACCTCTGTAATGGTGAGGGGTGACTCTTCTCCAAATGCTGAGGGGTGGGGTGTCCAGCCCACAGCCCCAGCCCCGAGCTTCAGCAGGAGCATTTCCGCTCACAAATCCAATACGTCGTTTTCTCACAAGCGAGGTCATTCCAGGTGCCGTCTCTGTTCATGCTGGCACAGTCCTCGTTCCAGAGGTTGTTGGGTTCCTGTGGGTCCCAGAAACTAGATGGAGGAAGTGGGAAGAGGAGGAAAGAGGGATGAATACATGCAGCATTGGGCATTTTAGAAGCAATTAAACTGTTCCATAGACCACTGATAGGGTGACACTGTAGCATCCTGCATTTTAAAAACA